GACCTCGGGAAGCTAAGATGTCCCCAGGATCCACTGGGCCTATTATAACCTAGCTCACACGTGGGGCATCTGATTTACCTTAGTTTTCCCAGGATCATCCCAGTTGTAAAACCGAAAGCCCAAAGAGAGTGCGGTGAATGGGTACAAATACACAGTTCGATAGGAGTAAGTTCCAACGTCTGACAGCAGGGTCAGGTGACTATAGCTAACAACAATGGACTGTCTATTTTGAACTCGCTGGAACTGAGAACTTGAAATGTTCCCAACACATAGAAATGATAATCGAGGTGATGAAAACCCTAAACACTGACTTCATCATTACACAATCCACACATGTAACAAAATATCACATGCACCTCACAAATACCTACAAATATGTGCATCAATAAAAATAATTTTTAAAAAACTGAAAGGCCCACATCCCAGGAAACTCCTCAGTGCCAGGCAAATCGGGATTATTGATCACCTGACCACCCTCCAAAGCAAGCCCAGGCTTGAGGAGGCCGGGGCCACTTCCATCCTGCAATGTGCCGTGCCTTCCCTATCACCGAGAAGAAAAGAAAAGCCCCGCTTGGATGGTAGAGCACTGCTCTCTACAGAGAGCTCAGAGAAGAAGCAACTCTCCTGAAGCAGTCAATGCCAAGGAGGTCCTGCTGATTGAGGTTTGGCAGTGCAAGCCAGGAGGGGCTTCAGCCTGGACCATCAGACAGGCCTGGAAAGCAAGGCTCATTCAGCCCTCCCCCTTGAATTGAGAGATCCTCTTGCCTGAGCATCACGCATGAGGCACATGGATTCAGGCTTCAGACCACGCCAGACTCCATGTTCCATCATCTCTGCTGCCCAAGCAGGCAACTTGGGGAGAGCTGAGGGAGGCTTCACATCCTTCCCAGGACTGTGACCGTCATGATACTCACCTGGGGAATAACGGAGACCCACCTATTACTGTCCACCTCGATTGAGAGTTCGATCCTGATGAATGGCTCCCCTGTAAGAGCTGGCTTCTCTGTTGGGGGTCCTGGAATTTGACTACACCCTGCCATCTTCCAAGTTGTGCTGTTTCTGCCAAGTGGCACCTGGCATGACAGTGGCGGGATCACTGTCACTGTGAACTGAGTGACCAGTGAGACATTTACTGAGATGGTGCTATGGTCTGAGTATTCGCACTCTCCCCAAAATTCACATGTTGAAACCGAATCCCCAGTGTGATGGCATTAGGTGGTAGGGCCTTTGGGAAGAGGCCCATGTTGTGAGACAAATCTGTCCACACTGTGGGAAATGGCTCAACACACACACTTCATTAAATACAGCCAGCCAGCGATTCATAAACTCATTCATTCATTTATTCATTGGCTTGCCAATATTTGGGGGCACTTATGATGGGCCTGGCACTATCTTAGGTTCCCACAGGGAATTACAGAACATTTTAAACTGTGTAACATGGAAGTGCTGGGCACGATGCTAGCATGTGAAGATACCAACCTAATTCACATGACTGTGTGAGGAGGGATGGATGTCATAAAAGATCTTCAAGGAATTTTTCTAGAAGTCAGATGTGTATTTTTTTTTTTTTTTAATTTGAGACGGAGTCTCACTCTGTTGCCCAAGCTGGAGTGCAGTGGCGTGATCTTGGCTCACTGCAACCTCTACCTCCCAGGTTCAAGCAATTCTCCTGCCTCAGCCTCCCAAGTAACTGGGATTACAGGCACCCGCCACCATACCCACCATACCTGGCTAATTTTTGTATTTTTAATACACACAGGGTTTCACCATATTGGCCAGGCTGGTCTTGAATTCCTGACCTCAAGTGATCCACCTGCCTTGGCCTCCCAAAGTGCTGGGATTACAGGTGTGAGCCACCACACACCTCGCCAGGATGTGTTTTTTTTTTGTTTTTTTGGTTTTTTTTTTTGAGACAGAGTCTCGCTCTGTCACCCAGGCTGGAGTGCAGTGGCGCAATCTCTGCTCACTGCAAGTTCCGCCGCCTCCTGGGTTGACACCATTCTCCTGCTTCAGCCTCCCTAGAAGCTAGGACTACAGGTGCCCGCCACCATGCCTGGATAATTTTTTTGTTTTTTTAGTAGAGGCAGGGTTTCACCATGTTTGCCAGGATGGTCTTGATCTCCTGACCTCATGACCCGCCCGCCTCGGCCTCCCAAAGTGCTGGGATTACAGGCGTGAGCCACTGCGCCCGGCCAGGATGTGTATTTTTAATATTATCATTTAGTTTGAGGAAAACAAACTAGTTGTTTGTTGGTATAGAGATACATCCCCCGAAAGCCATTAACAAAACCCCTCAACTATCAGCTTAAAACACGTCTCGGCATTTTATTTTAAGAAAACATAAACCTGGTCACAAAACATCTTCAGAGAACAGGATAAGTGAGGAAACAAATGAAATGCATGGGAGTAGCAAATTTGGGGCCTCGGTCATGTTCAAGGGGCGGAGCTGACATGAAATCATTTTGTTCCCGGAAAAGCAAGGTTAACTCAAGCTGTGAAGCCCAGATGGCCGATAGATTTACAGCCATCTAAAGAGGAGCAGAATCCTTTCAAGAGTTGAATTATGATGACTTGTAGGTATTGATTAGATGAGAACACCAACCCCGTATTCAGCAGAGAGTTAGGGAATGAGAAGTAGAGGGGAGATGGTGGTGGTGACCGTCTTTATGTAGTTTTCGAAGTCACTTCCGAAAAAGAAGATGAGGTAATAGTTGAATATGCCAGCGACGGACATGAGGAACAGGAAGAGTATGATGCGTTTCCCAAATATGTAGCCAGGGGTGCTGGAAGAGAAGGAAAAAGAAAACTGTAGATGCAGTGCAAATGACACTAATTTCACACACACAAAAATGTTACCCCTTTTAGATACATGGGGTTTAAATTACAGCTCCCTGGACTCAACAATGCTCCATTTTCCCATTTACTTCGTACGAAGGATGGAAGTGTCTCAGCTATTACTAGCCATTGAACTTATTTCAAGCGAAGAGAGCCTAGACCTCAAAACCCATTACTGCGAGGGCTTTACTGTACCCGCCTCTCTGTGCTCTCATGATTTCCTTAACTCCAGAGCTCCTTGATGGCCTGAAGTTGGCAGGTTCTGTTGATCACTGGGCATCCTCACTGAGCATTAGGACCATTAAGACCCTCTCTGCAGCTGCCCCTAAGGACAGACACGTGTGTAATGCAGGACTGTGTTAGAAGTGAAGTTTAAATGAGCTGATAAAACCGGTGGAATCGGAAAGGTGCTTCGGCATCTGAGGGCTCATTGTATTCTCCTGAGGCTGCCTGGAGTAATTCATGTTTACATTCATGAGAGCTGGGCACCCAGCAATGGGAGACAGGCCCTTGCATTTTCGCGTGGAGAGAGAGACTTGGTTTCTGTTGTTATTGCTGTTGTTTGTTTGTTTGTTTGTGAGATAGAGTCTCACTCTGTAGCCCAAGCTGGAGTGCAGTGGTGCAATCTCCGTTCACTGCAAGCTCCGCCTTCTGGGTTTAAGTGATTCTCATGCCTCAGCCTCCCAAGTAGCTGTAACTACGGGCATGTGCCACCACGCCCAGCTAACTTTTTGTATTTTAGTAGAGATGGAGTTTCGTCATGTTGGCCAGGCTGGTCTTGAACTTCTGAGCTCAGGCGATCCACCCACCTCGGCCTCCTAAAGTGCTGGGATTATAGGCGTAAGCCACCACGCCCAGTGGAGACATGTTTTAATACACTCTATCCTTCTCTCCAAGGCACTAAATCCTAAACTGCATCCACCAGTGAGATGTGACCTCCTAATGGCACGCAGAGGCCACCCTGCGTCTGCCCTCCCTCTGCAGAGCCCTCGTCTGACTGCCACCATGTCTGGCCCATTGAGTGGTGCTAACAGGTTGGGAAAGTCCAAATGACTCAGGAGGTTGTTAGTAAAGATCTCGGGAAGGCGCGCTTAGACAGTCAGGACCGCACAACGAGATGAGCCAGCTCAGCCCAGCAGCTAACTTCATGCTGCCAAGTGCCGTTTCCTGCCATAATCAGAGAGAGCAGCATTTGGCATCCACAGGTTTAATATTAGAAATCTTATCAATTTGAAAGGCACCCTATATGCTCATAATATAACTCATAATTTATCATTTATCTTTTTTTTTTTTTTTTGAGACTGGGTCAAGCTCTGTTGCCCAGGCTGGAGTGCAGTGGCAGGATCTCAGCTCACTGCCACCTCTGCCTCCTGGGTTCAAGCGATTCTCCTGCCTCAGCCTCCTGAGTAGCTGGGATTACAGGTGTGTGCCACTATGCCCAGCTAATTTTTGTATTTTTGGTAGAGACGGGGTTTCACCATGTTGGCTAGGCTGATCTCGAACTCCTGACCTCAGGTGATCTGCCTACCTCGGCCTTCCAAAGTTCTGGGATTACAGGCGTGAGCCACCATGCCCAGCCAACTCATAATTTTTCTACAGCAGGAGTCTGAAACTCACTCAGCCATTACGTATCAAGCTACTTGCTACTCAAAGTATGGTCCATGGACCAGCAGCATCAGCCCCCACTAGAAGCTTGTCAGAAATGGGAAATCTCAGGTCCCTCTGGAACCTAATGAATCAGCATCTGCATTTTAACAAGCTCCCCATGGGACCCACTCACATGGGAAAAGCACTGCTAGCTGACACCAGCCCTGTTCCTTTGCCAGCTTCATTCTCTCCCTGTTTTCCTGTTCAGTTATGTTCATGAGATAAGACATCTTTACTAGCTCCTTACGGGGGAAAATAAACATCCCAAAAGAGGGTGTTGTGGGCTGAATTAGGTCCCTTCCAAAATTCGTATGTTGAATCCTTACCCTCAGTTCCTCAGAATGGGACTGTATTTGGAGACAGGGTGTTAGAGATAATTAAGGTAAAATGAACTTATATGGGTGGACCCTCCTCCAGTATGACTGGGGTCTTAAAAGAGGAGGAGATTTGGCCACAGACATGCTCAGTGGGAAGACAACGTGAAGACACAGGGAGAAGGTGGCCCTGTTCAAGCCAAGAAGAGAGGCTGCAGGAGAAACCCACCCTGCCCACACTTTGATCTTGGACTTCTAACCTCTAGGACTGTGAGAGAATTAATTCTGTGGCTTGAGCCCCCGGGGCTGCAGTACTTTGTTATGGCGGCCCCAGCAGGTGAGTACAGAGCCCCCTGCTAGTGCTGGTAAGGGAAGTGAAAATAAAATAAAGAAGTCCAAGTAAGGGATATTTTTTAGCCAGAGAATAGAGGGTTCAGATAAATTAAATTGTGAAAAGTCAAATATCGTGGTGGCTCAGATTTATCACACGAATGAGGCCACCATATGCTCATTACAGAAACAAGAAAAAGTGATTTGCGAAGCTGTTTTACGCTTAAGATAAAACCGAAGTGAAAAATGACATGGCCGCGCCTCCTGATGAAATAGTGGTGTTCCTCAATTCAGGTAGGATTTTTCCAAGGTCTCAGGGCATGTGGTCCCCGCAGCATTAGGACTGGGATGCTTTAACTCTTCCCAGGCCGTGCACAGGGTGTGGAAGATAAAAGCTCAGCTTCCTGCTCCCTCATCTGCAGGGCTCAGGGAATGTGACCCCAGGTCGGGCACGTCATTAGCTGTACCTTTAAGTATCTCAGGTTTGGAGATGGGGCCACCGCTGTGGCAAGTGAGCATGGTTGCCAGATGCTGAACCTGCCCCAGGCTCAGGCCAAGCTGCGGAGAATCTGAAATGCTGTGAGCAGGGAAGGAAGAGCTTGGGGGCCGAGACAGGGCACACCAGGGTCATTAGCCCTTGAACAAGCAAGGTATCTCTTTCATGTTTCTTTTTTTTTTTATTTTTATACCAACTACAGAAGACTCACTAATCTTTCATTGTTTCTAAAAGTTGGTACATAATTCTAAATGAGTGAGGAAGGTCAGAATTAAATTATTAAGCATCTGTTGGGACTTCCTTCAATTCTCACAGCCATCCTATAGGGGCGTATTGTGAACCTATTTTCCATCTAGGCAAACAGAGCAGAGAGCTTGCACGATTCGCCTCAGGTCCCACAGCCAGCAAGAGGCAACGTAGGTGTTCAGACCTGCCTGTGTGAGGCCAGAGTCCAGCGCTTTGCACTGCAGTGACTTCCTAAGGATGCCTTCAGACTTTGGAGACTAGGATTTGGCTATTAGTTTTGAAACAGCTGTGCCCTCCACAGGCAGCATAAACTTACATGAAAACACAAAAGCATCCTGCTAAACAATTCCCATCTCAGAGGTGCTAACCACTCCTAGGATGAGGTGCCGTAGTGTGGGAGATGAGGGCGCCCATGCACCCAGAGCCCTGAGTTCCACCCAGGCGTCGTGGGTGGCTCATGCCTATAATCCCAGCACTTTGGGAGGCCGAGGCTGGCAGATTGCTTGAGTTCAGGAGTTCGAGACCACCCCACCTCAGCTCTCCGTGGCCCCCCACCAGTCACCAACCCTCTCCCACTTCCCACCCCAGGTTCTTAATGTGTACAAAATATGAGGTAGGAACAGAAAACACGACAGTCCCTTCTTGTTTTACAATTCTGTTCTTTTCAGAACTTAGGGAAGTCTCACTTTAAGCCTGGTGACCTCTAAAGAAAATAAAAATTGTAAGTTCTGTGAGGACAAGATATTTCTCCTCTGCCCACCCACAAATATCCAATAAATCAGGACCTCCACAAATATTTCTGAAGTGAATGAATCATTTCTCAGAAAAGAGAAGAGAACAGCCTTCAGCGATTCCCAAACTCCAGTGTGTATAAGAATCACCTAAAGATTGTGTTCTCTGAGAATGCAGAATCATCTGAGAATGCAAATGTTCAGGCTTCCTCTGACAGAGATTCTGATTCATAAGTCTGGGATGGGGCCCAGGAATCTGTATCTTTCAAAAGCACCACAGATGATTCTAATACTGTTGTTTGGCGGGTTTCGCTTTTAGAAACAGCAGCCTTGATATCCATCTATGCTCCCCGGCCTTCCAAAAGAAGAATGTTTCTCCTCAAACTCTGGTGAAGTATCACCGTACTCCACACTTGGAGGCCCACAGACTCTAGAACATTGATGCTGAGGAGGAGAAATGACAGCAAGGAATCAGTCTTCTTACGTTTTGAGAACTAGGTCTATGATTATTTTGGTGAGTTGAGTATTTTTGGTCTTGCAATGTGCCCCTGGCTCTAGGAGACACCTTGGGTGTCCTTGGGGACAAAGGCTCTGTTATGTTCACTGTTATTCCTTCAGCAACTGACCTGGTACCTGGCACAAAGCAGGGAGCAAATATCTACTGAATGAATGTTGAGTGAATGAGGAGTGAGTGAGCAACTAAGGAGAAGGAGGAGTAGGGTAACCTGAGTTCACTGGCCTCAAGAGTTGGCAGTCATTGCCCACCCACCATTGAGCTGAGAACTTCAAATTGCCAAGAGGATCAGTGGGAGCCCCGACTGAGGACAGGACTCTGAGGGATAGGAAGAGGGAGCAACCTAGTGCCCGCTGGGGAAGGTAGGTGATAAAAGGCCAAGAGTCAGTTGCCAGTTGGTGCCAGGTGCCATTGAGTTTGGGCCCAGGTGATAGCTTAAATGAATGAGGAAGAAACCAAGATTCAGGCTGGGCATCATGGGTGGCTCATGCCTATAATCCCAGCACTTTGGGAGGCCGAGGCTGGCAGATTGCTTGAGTTCAGCAGTTCGAGACCAGCCTGGCCAACATGGCGAAACCCTATCTCTACTAAAAATACAAAAAATTTGCTGGGTGTGGTGGTGCACGCCTGTAGTCTCAGCTACTCAAGAGGTTGAGGTACAAGAATCACTTGAACCTGGGAAGAGGTGGAGGTTGCAGTGAGCCAAGATCAGGCCACTGCACTCCAGTTTGGGCAACAGAGCAAGACTCTATGTAAGGTGAGGTGAGATGAGGTGAGGTGAGGTGAAGGGAGGGGAGGGAGGGGAGGGAAGTGAAGGGAGTGAAGGGTGAGGTGAAGTGAAGGGAGAGGGAGGAGCCAAGATCAGGCCACTGCACTCCAGTTTGGGCAACAGAGCAAGACTCTATGTAAGGTGAGGTGAGATGAGGTGAGGTGAGGTGAAGGGAGAGGGAGGGAGGGGAGGGAAGTGAAGGGAGTGAAGGGTGAGGTGAAGTGAAGGGAGAGGGAGGGGAGGGAAGGGAAGGGGAAAAGAGAAGAGAAAAAAGAAAACAAAGAAAAGAAAAGAAATGAACTGGGTTCAGTTAACTGCTGGGTAGTAACTGCTACAGGTGAACTAAACAGGATAGAGGAAGGGGTCAGAGAGTAAGATGAAGGACTGAAAATAAGAGCCAGAAACTTCTCGAGGGCATTAAAAAGGGAACTACAAAATCCTCGCAGGGCAGCCTGAAGCCTGAAGGAAGAAGCTCAGACTGGGGCATACATTATGCAGTGTCTTCCCTGCCCACTGGACCAAGGATGACACTGAACTTCCGAAGTGGACAGGGCTGAAGCAACTTCTGGAAAGGGGCAAAGGACCATCTGGGGTCCAAGAGAGAAATTCCAGGGGAAGAATCTCATCAAGCAATTCCTCCTCAGTTGGTGAGGTCAAGAACTAAAGCAGGTCCCAAGGGCATTAGGTGTCTGCAGATTCCAAGTGTGACATAGCCCAGGAACAGAAGGGGGACCTGGGGAGGAGGTGGGCCTAACTGAAGAAGCTCTCAACAAGTAGCTTCTAGAAGGCAGGATTGAAAATCTCCTTGCATTTAACCATAGAGCCCCTCTGGCTTACATCTATATCAGGCCGTATTTTGGTCTAGATTAGGCTTAGACATTTCTTCTAGTATCTATTACTTCTACTGATGACAACTACTCAGAGCGGTTGTGTTAAGCAGTATCTGTGTTAAGAAGGACTCTGAGGCCAGTTTTGGTCTCTGCAAGAAAGAGCACCATGATTCATCAGTAAAGCCTACCACACCCACAGGGGAGGAGAAGGGGATCTTGAACCCATGCACACAGTGGGTTACGGGGCTGGCGGGATCTTCTTATCATCTAAAGCGGGAGACCAGGGAGGGACATAAGAAGTCAGGCCGTTTATATTTCAATGAGGTCTGAAGAAATCTACTATTTTAAAGATTTCTTGTAAACCAATCTTCTATTGTTTATTTTTGCCACCTCTGTTCGTTCCCTAATAGGAATCAGTTAGTAAAACCTTTAAAGTTAAAAGGACATGTGGGTAGGTGGACAAATTTTGTCATGCTCTGCAGATTGTCTCGGAATTAAAGCAGCTGTAGGATCTTAAGCAAGTGGTGACAGATGAAGAGAGGAGCAGTGACTGAGCCACATCCCTGGGACTCTGCGAGGGGTAAGATAGGGCTGCATAGGGAGCCAGGCAAAAGAGAAGACCCTCTTATTTCATTGCTAGACATTCCACCCCCACTCTTAACAAGGTAATCACATGGGAAAAGGCATGATAGAGGTTTTCCAGGGCAAAAGAGAATAAAGAATATCATTTAGGGCAGTGTTGATAAGAATAGGAGAGATAATGGAAGTGTGGTTTTAGAGGATAAATAAGAATGCTACTAGAGAGGAATGAAGAAAGAGATGGCACAGGGAAGGATCTGCCAAAAGAACAGTCATTCTTTTTCCGGCTGCAGCCCGGCTCGTGGTCTAACCCTGTCAAGTCCTCGAGCTTCACAGGCTCTCAGGTTTTCCAGATATAGCGCTTTCACCCGCTGACCTCCCCAGGATGTCACTGCCTTTATCGCTACTGAAGGATGCTATCTAATCATAGAGCCCATTAGCCACTAGAAAGGGGTGCTATTGTAAAAGACAGAGCAGCTGTGAACATCGAAAAGGAAGGAAAATGGTGTGGAAGGCTGGGGTCGGCACCTGGGGCAGCAGCCTCGCAGAACGCGTTCCTGGCACCTGGACCCCTACTAGTGCATTAGGAATTGCAATCTCTAAGGAACTGATGGCATACTCTAACTCCAGCATTTCTTCTGTAAGTATCAGCATTTATTTTACTAAAATCTAGATTTCCCAATCCAGGTGTCAGGAAGGTACTGTGCTGCTTTGGAGCTTTCTGTCTGGCAACATCTATAAACAATGCAATGGTGATGCTAGTCAGTTTCACAGTCTCATGTCTGCATCTTTTTTTTTTTTTTTTTTGATGGGGTTTTGCTTTTGTTGCTCAGGCTGGAGTGCAGTGGTGCAATCTTGGCTCACCGCAACCTCCGCCTCCTGGGTTCAAGCGATTCTCCTGCCTCAGCCTACCGAGTAGCTGGGATTACAGGCGCCCACCACTATGCCTGGCTAATTTTTTGTATATTTGTTAGTAGAGACGGGGTTTCACCATGTTGACCAGGCTGGTCTGGAACTCGCGACCTCAGGTGATCCATCCACCTCAGCCTCCCAAAGTGCTGGGATTATAGGCGTGAGCCGCCGCACCTGGCCGTCATGTCTGCATCTTATTTTCCCAACGTTCTTTCTGCTGGCCCCTGGAAGATCTGTTCCTCAGGACAACTTATCACAAGGTGCAAGCGTTCGTTCTCATTTCTCTAGACAAACAGTAAAATGTTTCACTCCCAAGAGGCCTGGGAACCCAGACATAAAAAGTCATTCCAGCGCCAGACTCTGCAAGGCGGGAGTGTAGGGTGTGGGACTGCAAGGCACGTGCAACAAACAACACTGAAGCACCCTTTGAAAGTCAACACCATGCAGAGGAATTGCTTAATGAGAAAACTGGGCAAGTCCCCCAGCTGTATTTTCGGTCTTCGAAACTCAGGGAGAGAAGGATCAGAGGTCCTAGTCAGCCTTCCCCCTCCCACCCAAGGGGATGCTACAGAGCCATGACTCTAGTAAAATATTGTTTTGAATTATCACTCATCCTGCTCGAAAATCAGGAATCACTCCACGGTTCTTTAGTAGTCCCCATTACCTACCTCTGCGTTCTCTCTCCTAGGTAACCGACAAAGTACTTTTGCCTCACAAACAAGTACATCAGTCCAGCAAAGGCAGCGGGAACTAAGTGGAGAAATGAAAACACCTGTATCAGTTTTGTAACCACCAAAAACATGCCGTTAGCCCAATTTTAGCATAGTCATTAGGCAATCAACATTGGTCACAAAATCTAGCAGAGGACATGCGCACTTCAGAAAAAAAGCCCAAGGGCTAGAGGAAACCCGAGAACCTTCCTAATACTGATAATAATGACTTTATGCCGTCATCATGGCATTGTTTACAACAAACTTGTCCAATCCGCAGCCTGTGGGTCACACATGGCCCAGGATGGCTTTGAATACAGCCCAACACAAATTCATAAACTTCCTTAGAAACATTATGAGATTTCTTTTTTTTTTTGCGACTTTTTTTCCTTTAGCTCATCAGCTACCAATAGGGTTAGTGTATTTTATGTGTGGCCCAAGACAACTCTTCTTCCAGTGTGGTTCAGAGAGCCCAAAAGATTGGACACCCCTGGTTTACAAGGTATTTGCATAGCCATCATCTAACATGAGTCCTTTCAACATAACTAGTACCCACATTTCTATTTCCAGATGCAGAAACGTGGGTTCAGGTGGTCCACCAGGCTTGCATAAGGCTCACAGCTGGTAAAAGGGGGCAGAGGGTAGGGCTTAAACCCTGAACCCAGCTCTGAAACTGGTTCTCTTAAAAGTACACCCTTCACCCCTGAGCATCCCAGCAGCACAATGTTTTAATCTTTCCTGAACCAACAGTTATGTTTAGAAAAGATCTCTAGGGAAGGAGATTCCCTCTGCATTCTAGCCTTTTGGGAAACTGCCTGCAGCAGCACCCCAATAACTCTGTGAAGTCCTGAAGGCTTGGCGCTGGGAGTTAACTCAGCTGGAACTCATGTTATCTGGAGCCACAGATATAAAAGCCGTTTACAAACTGCTGCCATTGAGGGAATCCTTTTCACCTGCCGCAGTGCTCCTGGCGTTTGAGGAACTTGAGTCTCCAGTCCTCCCAGCTCGCTGGTAAGGAGTGTGTTACTGTCACCGTCTGACAGATGAGGAAATTTAGGCTCAGGCCACAAGAGCCATGAGGACATCTGTCTTCTTTCTAGACCATCTCTGAGCCTGGCATAGTGCCTGGCACATAGGGGTTTTCAAAATAATATTTGTCAAATGAATGAAAATAAGTCAGGCCAGTGAAGGGGCGGAATTTGAAACCAGGTCTTTCTGATTACAAAACTTTATCACCACCACCCACATTATCAATAATATTTATCATGCTTCAGTTGTTAGGCGGAATCATATGAAATGCTGTTTTTGTAGGTCATAAATAGTCAGATATTGGCAATTTTACATGGCTCAATCTGGTATATGCCAAGCACTGTGTCAGGAGTTTTATACATATTATTTCACTCACCATAGGAATGCTACTAGCTAGACCATGGGCCTGTTTTACAATAAGGAAACTGAGGCTTGGAAAAGCTGAGTAACAGCCTGGACTCACACACCAGCAATGAGAGTCCTTGGATTTGCCTCCAATCAGCCACTCCCCAAAACCCATTTCTTTCCACAATTCCTCCTGCCTTCCAAAATACTACTGTTACCTGGTAGATAAAAAAATCAAAGCAAAAGAGAAACTGTGAGTTTCGGCTTTCATTCTTATTTATTTATTTATTTAGAGACGGAGTTTCACTCTTGTTGCCCAGGCTAGAGTGCAATGGTGCTATCTTGGCTCACCGCAACCTCCGCCTCCCAGGTTTAAGTGATTCCCCTGCCTCAGCCTCCTGAGTAGCTGGGGTTATAGGTATGCACCACCATGCCCAGCTAATTTTGTATTTTTAGTGGAGACAGGGTTTCTCCATGTTGGTCAGGCTGGTCTTGAATTCCCGACCTCAAGTGACCCGCCTGCCTCGGTCTCCCAAAGTGCTGGGATTACAGGCGTGAGCCACTGTGCCCGGCCCATGCTATTCTCTAAAAAGCGCAAGACTGTCACAATCATGATTTGCCTTGGGCAAAGTTTTTCCTATGTTGTACCATCTGAATGATTCTGCTCTAACTTACTGGTCCATTTTTCTTTCAATGGGAACCCAATTGAACATGAGCTATCAAGAGATTATGGGTGGAAAATGACCGTACTCAAACCCCTGTGCAAGGAAGGTGAGTGCCTCCTGCAGGGAAGTGGGCTGCCGGCACCAGGAGGGTATAAATCCAGGCTCTGAAATTCTGATGTTCGTGCAAGCCATGGTTCCTCTGGGACTTGAGCTTCTGCTCTATGAAGTGAGGGATTTGCACTAGAATTATCTTTGGGTTTCCTTTCTGCTCAAAAAAATTCTACAATCTATTTATTCATAAGAAATCATGATTATCAACCAAGGTTTACTGATGATTTTGTCTGCTGGCAATGACAAAGCTTGTTTTGACAGGAAATACATATTTCCAGGGCTACGAAACACCTTCAAACTCCCATTGTATTTATCTGGCTACAGCAAGTCCGCATTCATCTGGATCAAGCATCATCTAAGACATAAAAAGAACCATAACTCCTAGTAAGAGCATAGTTTGACTTGATTTTTTGAGTAATGCGAGACATAGTTCCTATTTAACTCAGGATAGAAAATAGGAAATAAATGGTGAGCTTACTGACAGCCTTCTCAGCACAGAAGGAGTGCCACGTGGTGTCCCTAAGTGGTTTCTGCTGCCGCCTCACCTCTGCTCTCTATCACTGAACTTAGTTCTTTTCCCGCATGGTGCTTCCCACCCTTGTCATTTCTTCATTCACTGACGTCTGTGGTCCATCTTGCCAGCTGGCCTGTGCTTCACCGCCATCTCTTTTATTTATCACTGTATATCTAGGCTCAGGGCTTGGCACAGAGTAGCTCTTCAATATATATTTATTATGTAAATGAATAAAGTAAGAAGATCTTTGTGAAAATCCAGAATTTTAAGCCAAAAGACCCAGGCACTCATTCTGCCTGTGTTATTCACCAGCTGAGTAGCTGTAAGCAAGTTACTTCATCTCTCTGAATCAAAGTATCCTGAAAGGTAATAAGGGACATAAGATCCACTCTATCTACTTTATAGAGCGGGGAGACAAAAATAAGTCTTACATAGTTCATCATGGGACTCAGTGTGGCCTTTCTGCCTGTGCCCTCCAGGGCCACAGAAGCTAGCCAGTTCATGCCGATCGGCCACCAGGCACAGTGCCAGGCATGGCCCCGAAAGGGGACCGAAAGTATGACTGATTTCCACTCAATGTTAAATCAACTCTGGAAGTTGATCTGTATTTCCAACTTGCTCAAGTCAAGCCTGTGGGCTGCTGCTAACCTGGGAAGGCCAGGGATGTGGCATCCAGCCCGTGGCTCAGTGGAAACATGCCTGAAGGAGGGCCACCATACTGGAAGCTTATCAGCAGAAGAGCCCAGTTACAGCCGCCCCAGAATAGATCCCTCAGGCACTCTCATTTATAATGCCCTTGTATCTGAACTAACACTGCTTAAGGATTCTGAGTCACATTTAGCCTTAAACCACCCTTGTCAGCACAGCAGCTCTCAACCAGCCACCAGGGAGCAAGCATTAGCAATGCATTATCACACGCGCTGTGCACGGGCGCAGAGCATGCCTGAAACACAGCCTCCCGAGGGCTCTCACCTCTCCAGGGCTTCACAGATGGGAGCCAGAGGTCAGGCAAAGTCCTTTCAACAAAAAGCCTGCCCTTTGAACCTCCTTGAGATGCACTTTATAGAAGAAGAATGAACAAAGGGAAGTCTGAGTTACCTTGGCTGCAGAGTAGCCCCGCAGACCAGAGCACAGCGAGGAAAGTGGGGTACGCATCTACACAGTTCTGGCTGCGGAATAAATAAACAAGGAGAAAAACAATTAGATACCAAGTCACTGCAATATGGTCTGAAAATTACCTGAAAGTTGAAGTTAATCATCATCATGGTGTATGAAACATAAATCCCATTCATAATTCCACTTCCATCTACCCAATAAGATGGGGCAGCCAGCTGCCACCTGGGAAACAAACAATGGTATAAAGCAAACACATGTTCATAATCCATTAACTCTGTTCCTATGGTGATGCATAAGGGAGACTTGGTTTCTTGATGTATTCCTTTGGCAGGGTTCCTGTTCCTGGCAGTGCACCTGTGCTTCTTGGAATTGAAGAGTGAGCAATGCAGACAGAGGATTGTGTCCACAATGTGGCCACACTGGCGTGGGGGTGGTGGGGGAGAAGAGCCCAACTAAGGAAACTTTTCTATCAGATCCACAAATCAGCCCAGGTCGGCAAGTCAGGCTGAGCAAAGGAAGGTGATCTTCAAGCGTTAAAGATACCAAGGTCAATTCAAAAAAGCTGGTGCTCAGAAAGTTAGCTTACTGAGAGGGCGATCACTGTGTGCCAGACACAGTCCTCACTCCCTGGAGAGTTCTCACTCTACCATGGATGTTTTACACCCATCCTCTCTTAACTCACCATATTCCTGTGAGTTCACATGATGATGGTATGAGTTTCCTCTTGCTGCTATAACAAGTGGCCACAAACTGAGTGGCTTAAAACAATACGCCCTATAATCCCAGCACTTTGGGAGGCCAAGGCAGGTGGATCACAAGGTCAGGAGTTCAAGACAAGCCTAGACAACATGGCGAAACCCTGTCTCTACTAAAAATACAAAAATTAGCCGGGCATGGGGACATGTGCCTGTAATCCCAGCTACTCAGGAGGCTGAAGCAGGAGAATCACTTGAACGTGGGAGGCCGATGTTGCAATGAGCCAAGATCGTGCCACTGTACTCCAGCCTGGGCAACAGAGGGTGATTCTGTCTTTTAAAAAAATTAATTAATTAGAATTAAAATATACACATGAACAGAGTCCAGATCCAATTCCTTTTAGCTCTCAGACCCTGACTCAGCTCTGCCCTCGTGGGAGATGGGTGAAGGCACAGCCCATTAATTAAGGCCAAGTCTGAGCTGATGAGCCGCACTGCCTGGGGTATCTGTTCAGCAGCTGCCCCAGAATCTTGAGCTATCTCTATCAGTCAGCAGTTGTGTTTTATGCTAAAAATACATGCATCTGTCTTTTTAATCCGCCAGTATCATTTGTCCTTCATGCTGTTTTTCCTTGATAGCCATGGTCACTAAACATTTATGATCCCACACCCCATCAACCAAGTTTTGAGCATGCAACCTTATAACAAGTATATTTGCATATAAACTACATACACATACTACTGTCCGGGTATATGTTAAAAATGAGTAAAGCTTCATTTCTTCCTGCAGCCTCATGGGTCATCTTGCAACCGTTTTCAGTGTTCCTGGATGCCCCTGGAGAAGCTGCTCCTGGGACGACTTTCTCCTAGAATAACACACAACCCTATTCCCAGTGGTTTCCTGACACAGGCGAACAGACCAGCTGCCTCTGGCTTTTGCCAGCATGTAGCTGCCTGCTGCATTGATCTTTGGCCCTTTTTACAACCCAGACAGGCACACAGATACACTGCTGGCCCAGGGAGGAAGTGGTCTTTGTAACAGAACCTCAGCAGTATCCAGACAATTTTTATCTTACGGAAAACTCGCCACCCTGCCTGCTTAGTTCCTACCTTTCCATGACTGGCTGTCCCCTCCCTCCGCCTTCCCTCTCATGGCGGATGAGTGTACAGACCCGTGGGTTTTGAGGGCTGGGCTGAAGCACCCACACAGTGGGGATGCCCGAGTGGCAATAAGCACCTTCCACTCTCCTCTTACACTTTTCATCTCTGGAGCCCCACAATGACTGTGGAACTTCCAAATGACACAGCACAACCACCAACCAAAGGCACTTCTGCAATCTGGAGGCTGGCAACCAGTGAGGCCAGGTCTGAGTGCCATGGCTTCTTAGAAACAGAGCTGTTCACTCCTGGGGGGACATGGCAGAAACTACACAGCCTGGCCTGCTCCATTTCTTCTTCATTGCCAGCCAGATGGAAACCTAACTTCTAACCACATACGGTGAAATCGCGCCATAACTTCTCCAAACTGGTTGAGCTGAGGAGTGCATAGGAACACAATGTGACCAGTGAGAATGCAGTCACCTGGCAGAAGTTTCTCTTTCCAAACTGATATAGCATAGTAGGAATGCTTGCTTTGGATTTCGTCTGGGGAGAAGTTTCGACCTTGCCTCATCAGAGACACCTTCTTTGCACCTCTTGCCTGTGGATGTGTCCGAGGTGGGACTCGAGTATTTTTCTCTGCAGATGGTGCAAAGAGGCTGACAGCAACCGACACGATTTCTGTACTCTCCTCCAAATGGTTTTAAAATGTCTTAAATCACATCTTTAAACATCTTAAGTTGATTCTGAGAATTAATACATGGAAGGCCTAGATGTTAAAATAGAAACCTCTCTATAATCAGTTTAGCAAAGGATTTCCTTGAGCTTGGACTGCTGGAATAGCCCTGAACAGAAGTGCTTGGGAGAAGGGAGTGGAGCCCAGAGCAGGTGGGAGCATGCAGAAAGAGGGAGACCTAGGTGGCCCGCTGCAGCAGCACTGTGAGTGTTCAGGGACTGTCCGAAAGGAAAATGCCCAAAGAGGGCAAGGGGCCAGGTGATCAGACTGTGACCACCGTACTAATGTGTTCAAGAGTGGCCCAGCAATTTCAGAGCGGAGGGAGGGAGCTGAGGAGACGCTCCCTCCAATTCCCGCTTGCCTACACCTCACTGAAACAATTAAAAATACCTAGATGAGGAGGACTGAAGAGAAAGTATATCGGTGAGTGTGATGTAGGCCTGTTCAGTCGAGGTCCCTTGAAGCCAGTTTAATTCACGGGAAACCAATGGTAACCCTGAAGGGGACCCTCCCTCCCATGGTGCCAGCAGTGAGCCCAGGGAGTCCAGCCCTGCGGTGTGAATCTTTATCCTGTGTTTGCCCCATTCTTGGCATTCTGAATGCATTTTTCTTGGGTGACCATGACTCCCCCTTTGGAAGGATCTCTGGGGACATCAAAGTTGCTCGTGGGCTGGAACTGAAGGCCAGCTCCTCCCTTAGCTCCCTAGCATGAGGCCTTCCTCCGTGACAGGCCCCTAGTCTGTAGTCCATAGTCCCCAACACACCTACCGCTGTCTGAGCCTTGAAATACACTCTGCATAAAGGAGAGAGGAGGATTTGAATAACATTCCTTCGGATTTGCATCCTGAATAGATTCCACCCATCTTTAGGAGCTGCTCGGGTGTTTTCAAACAGCCTTTGTATTCAAAGAAAAGAATGAGAGAGGGGGAAAGCACCTGCGTAATGTCCCCATTCTTTTTGTTCTTATTCTAGTTGCTCAAGGAGCCCCTGTGTTAGAAAATGCACTGGTGTCACCTCCAGACTTCCACCTGCAGGAGAGCGAGGGGCAGGTGAGTTGAAGGCTGTCACCAGCGTGTCCTGCCTGCGGCTTCTGAAGGCGACTGGTGAGTCATGGCTGGTGTTCACAGTAACACCCCTGGTCTAACCCCACAGGAAATAGGTCAACTTCCCTAACCAAATGACTCTTTCTGATCTTTCTGAAGCTGCAGAGATCACACCTCACTCCGCCAACGCGCCCCATATCCCCACTCCCTTTCTTCTGACACTAGCACTCACTAAGATGATGAAGGGTGTCCACAACGCCTCTCTGGTGAAATCCAACCTTCCTTAGCTCCCTGGCGCTCAGAAAGTTGGCTCAGACAGACCTGTGGTATTAAGGGTGTCATCACTCCTAGAAGGAGACCCCCCTGCCCTTGCCCCCCCCCCCGCCGTTAGCAACATCAGGGTTTAGACTCACTTGGCAGTGTAGACTCGCTCAAAGGCAAGTGTTCCCGTCCTCTGGAAGCTCCTCCCATTCTGGGTCCTGCTTTCGTGCTCCACCTTATGGGCAAAGAATCCTGCCAACAAAAAAGGTTTGCACTTGGTTCATCGTGGGCATGTTCTGGAGTCTGTTACTTCCTTGTTTTACTAGAATGTTAAACGCCTCCTTGACTTGACCTCCAAACAGCCCTAAATGTCCTCCATCAACTGTCATTTAGCAGAAATGTACTCAGCAGCTGCTCTCTACTGAACGCTGTGTTTGGTGTTGGAAACGCAGTTGTGAGCAAGGCACGGCCCCCACTTTCCAGGATCTTACAGCCTAAAGGAATAGACAAACAAGGAAAGCAGGTGTTCCACACAGCAGAGCGAGTCATGCCAAGATAAGATTGAGTACACGGTGCTTTCAGGGTCAAAGGAGGCAACTTAATTCCATGTTGGGTCACAGAAGGATTCCTAGAGGGAATTACACCTGAGATAAAATCTGAAGAACAAGTAGAAATTAGCCAAGCAGAGGGAGGGAGAGGGGCCACTCTACGTTAGGAGAACGGAATATGCGAAGGTCCAGGGGAAAGAACTGTTTTGGTTCAGAATGTCCAGCCAAGGAGGGGGAATGGAGGGCGCTGGGGAGAAAGTGGGATTTGGTAGAACCACAGACAAGGCCAAAGAGGCAGGTGATGAATTGTTCTTTCAATGACATGTGTCTATGACCACTTGCCACGTGCCAGACATTTAGCTTGCGTCCAAGAACAAAACAAAGAGCCTTGGTTTGAGAAACTGATGCTCTGGTGAGGGCAGCAGAGGAGGAAACAGATCATCCGCAGTAAGCAAAATACATAAATTGGAATGATACGGTGTGCTGAGCTATGGGCGAAAGAAGAGCATGGTAAGGGGCCGTTTGATGCATGCAAGAGGGTGGGGGCGTGAGCCCCAATGACAAAATAATAACTGAGCCAGGGCTTAAGAAGATGACCGTTGAGATTTGCACCTGGGCCTAGCAGGGTGACTGTGACCTTGCTGAGAGCCGTGTGAAGAAATTCAGAACTTAGTTCTGTCTGAGAACAATAAGGAATTACTGACAGGTTTAAGCAGAGGAATGTAGTCATCAGAAAGCCACCCTGTGTTTAGTGTGGCAGGCACTTCGCAGAATCAGATCCAGGAACGGCGGATAAGATAGGAGTCGACTGGGGTGGTGGCGGTGGGGCTGTCAGAGACGCCAAGGAGACACAGTCTGGAGGGTTTGACTCTAGATTGGATGATGGGGGGGTGAAGGTCTCTCTCCCCTCTCTCCTTTTCTGTTTTATTCCTTTACTCCTTTTTCAAGAGTGAAAAGGGGGATATATGTGATTGTCAGGGATCCAACCACAGGGTTCCTTTTCATCAATTTCATATTCTCTGCCTCAGAAAGACATTAAAAGGGTGCTTTATTATGTATAGGAATAAAAGCCTTTCATGTTTTTCTTTTTGATACAAATAACACTCCTTCTGTAGGAATGTGCCCACTTTAAGTGTATCTGTAGGGTCTCTTGCATAAAGGAAGGGCCCACCTCATCCCAGGCAATGTGATGGGCACTTGCCGTGTATTCTGTCACTGAGTTTTGCACCCACTCTTTGCAGTGGGTAGTACTGTTCCCACTCTGTGGGTGAGAACCCTGCGACCTTTCAGGCTCACCCTGCCGCTGGGGAGCAGTGCAGCCGGGGCTTCAAACTCTGCGGGTCACATGGGGATGTGTTTCTCCTCTTGCTGTCACCGTGAAGCTCCCCGCAGGATTTCATCAGTTCCACGGTTTTTTTTTTTTTTTTTTTAAAGAGACAGAATCTCACTCTGTCGCCCAGGCTGGAGTGCAGTGGCATGATCTCGGCTCACTGCAACCTCCGCCTCCAGGGTTCAAGTGATTCTTCTGCCTCAGCCTCCCCAGTAGCTGGGACTACAGGCATGCGTCATTCACACCCAGCTAAGTTTTGTATTTTTAGTAGAGACGGGGTTTCACCATATTGGCCAGGCTGGTCTCGATCTCCTGACCTTGTGATCCACCCGCCTTGGCCTCCCAAAGTGCTGGGATTACAGGCATGAGCCACTGGGCCCAGCCAGTTCCACAGGGTTTAATACACCTGTCCATTCCAAAGATCTGTTTTTGCCAGAGTATGACAGAAGATCCCAATTGTTTTCTTTCCAGAACCCAAGATGGTGTTCCCTGCCTCTGAACACATAAACAGGGCTAATATAATCAGCCTTCTGTATCTGCAGGTTCTGCATTCCTGGAGTCAACCAACCACTGACCAAAAATATTAAAACAAACAAAACAAAACAAAACAAAAAAACATTTTGTCTGTACTGAAAATATATAGATTTTTTTCTTGTTACTATTTTTTAACAATATAGTATAACAACAGTTTACATAGCATTTACATTCTGTCAGGTATTATAAGTAATCTAGGCCACACACAGTGGCTCATACCTGTATTCCCAGCACTTTGGGAGGCCGAGGCAGGTAGATCACCTGAGGCCAGTAGTTCGAGACCAGCCAGGCCAACATGGTGACACCCCGTCTCTACTAAAAATACAAAACTTAGCCAGTTGTTGGGGGAGTTGAGGGGGGGCTGTAATCCCAGCTCCTCGGGACACTGAGGCAGGAGAATCACTTGAACCCAGGAGGCGGAGGTTGCAGTGAACTGAGATTGCACCACCGCACTCCAGCCTGGGCGACAGAGTGAAGAAAAAAAAAAAAAAAAAAAAAAAAAAAAAAGACAAAACAAGTAATCTAGAGATTATCTAGAGATTACTTAAAGTATATGGAGGATGTGTGTAGGTTAAATGCAAATACTATGCCATTTTATATCAGGGACTTGAGCATCCATGAATTTCGGCATCCAAGGGAGGTCCTGAAACCAATCCTCCAGGGATACGGAGGGATGACTGTATTAAAAGTCAGAGGTTATTTCTGCAACCAGCAGCACGACACGCTGTAGTTCTCTGCATCTACCTCTCTTCTTTCCCTCCTTGCTCAGAGAACCAAGCCCCTTCCTTTTCTCTAAGGCTGTGACCTCTACCTGCGATCTTGACCCTGTCCATGCCACTGACTTCAAGTCTGTATTTCATTGCTCCTTCTCCCACTTTCAGAATCTTTAATATCATCTGCTCTCCTTTTCTTTATCCTGGAAACACCCACAGATCTTCCCTACCCTTCAAACAAAACAAAAACAAACCTGCCTCAGTCCAACATTCCACTAGGGTTTACCTCTCCTTCCTTCTAAGATAACTTGGAAGAGTTGGCTGCCTTTGTCTACTCCTCACCACCCCCTCACTCCCCAGCCTCTTGTAATCCTGCAGTATGCTACAGAAACAATGCAAGCAAAGACCATAAACACACTTATCGCAGCTAGCTGCTAGCAGTAAGCCAGAACAAGTGTGAGAGAGACAAAGACCTAGATAGAGAGATAGCTGCAAACCCTTGTGAGGCATCTGCTATACGTGGGCACGGCTAGCTACTTTATATCATCTTGTGCAAGACCTTCAGCAACCACATGTGGAGGTTATCAATCACTCCACTGCTCAGTGAAGGAAACTGAGGGCCAGAGAAGTTAAATAAGTTTCTCAACAAACATAAAGAGATCTTGAGATTTTAGTTAACCACAGAGTTCATATGACTCAGCAGTGACACACAGTTCTCGAAAAAGTAACTCATACGTAGATTATTCTAACAGAGTTGGAGTCCATATCTCAGGAACAGCTTCCCTGTACAGAAGACACCTATCTGCATAGGTGTTCTTAGAAAGAACACAGGAAGAGGAGAGGTGACCCAATGGCAAGGGACTCCAGAAACGATAGGCTGAAGAGGGGGATGTGACAGCTGACACTGTAAACACAGAAAGAGCAGGCACGGTCTAAGTGATTTTAGGGAACAGCACCAGGACTGCTGGATAAAAGGCGCAGGGCTGCAGATTTCAGCTCAATATAAGACAGAACTTCTTGAACAGTGAGTGCTTGAATGAATGAATTGGAGGCAATATGCATGGAGCAAGTGTCTACTCTCTAAAGTCAGGTGATTAGGTTTTAATCCCAGCTTCACGACTCCTGACCTTGGGACTTTCAACCAACGCTCCAAATTCTCCATGATTCACTTTGCTTATCTGTAAAACAGGAATAAATCATGTAGTATGTATTTCTAGGCTGGGCTCATGCCTGTAATCCCAGCACTTTGGGAGGCCAAGGCAGGAGGATCACTTGAGGTCAGGAGTTCGAGGCCAACCAGGCCAACATGGCGAAACCCTGTCTCTACTAAAAATACAAAAATTAGCCGGGCGTGGTGGCACATGCCTGTAGTCCCAGCTACTCAGGAGGCTGAGACATGAGAATCACTTGAGCCTGGGAGGCGGAGGTTGCAGTCAGCTGAGATTGCACTACCGCACTCCAGCCTGGGCGACAGAGTGAAACTCAATAATAATAATAATAATAATACATATTTCTTTATTCACTTGCATACACTTATAAAGACCTGTCTTTGTGCCAGGCAGTGTCCTGGGTGCAGGGGACTAAAGCAGGGTGAACAAAACAGGTACAGTGAAGGAAAGGTCAGCCTACAGTGACCTCTCTAGTCTCTGCAAAGGCAGTTGCGTGAGTGGGTGAGTGCGAGGATTAAATGGTGCAAAGATTACATGAGATAATACTAAGCACCGCAGGAAGCACCATTCTTCACACAACGCAAGCTTTCAATCCATGCAACAATTGGAAAGGCAAGCTTGGAAGGTGGTGAGTTTTCTGAACACTGCAGTGTTCAGGAAGAAGCAGCTGTGGTGGTTACTGTAAGGAAGATTCCTGCTTTGGGGGAACTTCATGAGTCTATGATTCTGTTTCTAGAGCCTATCAAACCCCAGGTTGGATGGCAAAGTCTTCCAATATGGTGCTTGGGAGGTTTCTTGCGAGTGTGTGTATGTGTTGGGGTAGAAATTGTAACAGCAGCTCCATTTCCCTCCTTAGCACTATGCTCACAAATCCTTATGACTCCAGGGCCATAATGTCGCCAAAACTTGGAGGGGCCTGCCTCTCTTGGGGGAAAGAGGACACTGCTAATGCCTGCCAGCTCCCCCTACAACGAGAGCAGATGCAGAACAGCCTCCACATCCTTCCTCTGCCATCACTAAGTGTAGCTCAGGGGCACTGAGCCCCTCCCCTCAGCTCACATTTCTCCCCAATCACTTTCTCCAAATACAGTATGTGCTTCCCAGGTTTGCATCACGTCCAAGCTGCTGGTACCTTGGCTGGAGAAGTTGGAGGCTCTCTGCCTGCTACTCATAAGAAATGCATCTATGTAATTAAAAGCCCCAAACTGGGGAGACAGATTTGAGCCCAACTCCTGTCTCCTTGCTGACCAGCCATGCAATGAAGCCTTTCTTCTCTCAAAAGCCAGTGCCATAGTATTGGCCAATGAGCCCATTTGCTGCATTCTCTGGGAAACCAAGTTTTGATAGTTCTGGTCCAGGTTTCTTAGAACAATGTATTTGAAACTCGTTCTATTTTTCTAAATCTGCATTCTGCTGGATCAAGCTGGAAAGGGTTACAAGTTTGAAGATCTTGATGACTAAACAATGTTTGAAAGGCAGAGGAGGACATTGCACCAGGTGGGCCGACTCTGCCCAATCACAGAAAATCAGGCTCTCGAAGTACGGAGAGAGTGCAGAGCCCAGTGCAGTCATGGGTGCATGTGGAACTGTGCCTCACTGTCTTAGGACGCAGACTGGGTGCAGTGCCTGGTAACACCATGGAAATCTTTCTTTAACTAACAGGAAGTGTTCACAATGGCATTTTAGGGTATGAGGAAGAAGAAAGGCAGGGTTTTTGCATATTTTTTTTGAATTCTGTAAGGTAGGTCTATGGTTGTAACATTGAGGTGAATTAGAATTGCAAAAAGAGGCTTGGACATACATCTGGATCTTTGGGATCACCTAAAAACTCACAGTTAAAAACAAATAGTCGTGTTATCTCCCAAGTTATTGAATGTTTTGCCACCTCCACTGAGAGGTATATGAGGGGCTCTGCTGTGGTTTCATTGGGACCACAGAAATTCCCTTACTGAGCACAGGCAGGAGAACTGTGCAAAGTCACTCTGACCACACATTGCCTCAGCTGGCTCCCAAGGGGCAGCTGTGACAATGGAGGGACAGAGGCAGTGACGTGCAGGCCATCACGCTCCAGCCCAAAAAATTAGCTCCCTGCTGGTCCGTGCTGGTATCTCCTCAACCAGGAAGCCCCCAGCACACTCATCATTTCCAGGAACTCTGTTAGTGAGGCCACTGTGCCCTGTGGTCTCTAAAAAGTCTAGGTCTCCAGACTGTGGCTGTCAGGACTCAGACATCTGGCCATCTTTAATCTTACCTCCACCTCCCACTTGTCCCACAGAAGAAGATTTAATCCTATCTGTCAAAAAGAATTCGAAATCTCACACCCACCTCAATCTGAACAGGGTTTGCTAAACCATGATGGCAAAGCCCAGGATAAAGCCCTGGGTAGAGCAGGGCCAGTTCCCTAGTGCACCTCCGTTAGGAGAGGTGAGGAGAACCTGTCCTTGAAATGGAGAGCTCTGAAGCTTCCCCTAGCTCAGCTCTGAATCGAGAGGGAGCCGGACAGGGTGAACTCAAACTTCGTAGCAGAGTTCAGCCCTAACTGCACAGACAGGTGAGGGGGCACAAGGTCCCCTGTCCACCGATGCCCCTCAGTTTTATTGATGGGTGTCAGGGGAGAGGTGAATAAGTGAATACTAGAGCTGAATAAGTGCTGGCCACCTGCCCACCCATACAGCTACCTTTGCAGAGACTGCAGGCGTGGCCGCAGGCTGACCTGTCCATCACTGGAGCTGTTTTGTTCCCTGCTCTATTCCCCCATACCCAGAATACTATCTGGCCCAGAGCAGGGTCTCTGCACATGTATGCAGGTTGAATAAAGGAATCCTTGCCAATTTACAGGGCCAAGGGAGCCCCGTGTGAAACCGTAAGGGCTCAAGGAAATGGTGGCCTAAATAAGCCATTTGTTCCCTCTCTGAGCCACAACTTCGTTGTATGTAATTTAGTATAAAAATGTTTGGGTCAGAAAACCACAAAGTATAGTTCTTATAGAAAACATACTTGGAGTGTACGAAGCTGGGCCTTTCTGCCCTGGAGGCCGAGGGGGAGGCTTGCTCTGTGCCCAGGAGGCTACATCACCATCATCTGTCCACACTCAAGATGGGGGAAAATAGAATATCCCAAAGTGATTCAATACTCAAAGTTCCAAAACGTGACAGCGTGTCAATGTTCAGTAACCACCACGAAGCTACAGCAGCTGCCCTTAGTAATTACTCTTTTTTTTCTCTATCTTAATAAATACAAAACGCAAAGGCACTGGAGATACTTATGAAAGTGGTCTGAGGCAGTCCTAACTCAGAACTTCAGGGAGACAGCGCTACACAGTCCTCCCTTTTCCAGATCTAGGTATCCTGCTTGTTTTTTTTTTTTTTTTTAACTAATAGCGGAATAATGGAAATGCAAATGCTGAGCAGGACAATTTTCCTCTCTCTCTCTCTCTCTCTTTCCGAAGTATACAATGCATATGAAAAATGCTTCTAAAATTATACATGCTGGAGAAAAAAAAAGGTGTCACAAAAATAAAACCATGTTTCTTCAGAAGAACAAAAGAAAAAAGTAATATAGAGGAAAAATAATAAGATGATTTTTCCTACACACCTACCAAAATCACTCTTGTTAGACTGCAGATGACTGGGAACTTCAATTGCGCTGCAGAAGTTAGACAAGCCCCGTGTCTGCGTAAATGTGTATATCATGTTCCCTTTCTAGTCTTCTTACCTTCCACCTCTTGCCTGGCTACATTAATCAATAGCTAAAATGCTGATCATAGACACTTCAGTGAGGGTTTTAGCAAAAGTCTTCAAGTTGCAGCCCTGGCTCTAAAAATGGGACCAGTCATCACCACGAAAGTGAAAGACTAAGAGGAGGAAAACGCCAAATTTACACAGAAATACACACAACCCTATACATTCAAATAAAAAGAAGCAAATAAAGATAAGGTAAAAGTGTGTGTGCGACACAATAGTTTAAGCCTGACTTCCAAACACCCATCAAAGAAAATCTCCCCTTCTGTCCTTCCCTGAGTAAAAGGTTTTCCTTACCGTTCTGGACCACGCTGATGAGGGTGACAATGGCCAGCAGGACAACATTGCCTACAGCTTCTTGATCCATGTTTGCTTCAGGCTCTCCGGAGAGGACTGCTCTGGCTCCGGCCCCACAACCTGCCCTGTACAGGAAGGGGAAGTGAGAGCTTGCACTCTTTCATCATTAGAATTTCTGAAGATCCCCAGCACAATGACACAGTGCCTCCTTCTTCCCTTTTTTTTTTTTTTTTTAAACTAGCCACCAAAATGCCCTGGCTGTGGTTCAGTGTGACCTATCAGGAGAAGCAGGGCTTGGCAGAGGAGCAGACAAAGCCAGCACACTCTCCTACACTTCCTTGTCATGGGAAACTTCCCTGGGAGTCTCCAGAACGAATCCTGGATCCAAGACTATGACCAGCATGAGCCCAGCACAGGCACCAGAGAATCTGGAAGCTGCCATCATCTCTGACTTCAGCAAAGAGAAAGAAGGGAAAGAAAACCCAAAACTTTCAGGTCAGACAGAGTGGTATAAGCCTGTAACCCCAGCACTTTGGGTGGCTGAGGTGGGAAGATCGCTTGAGCCCAGGACTTTGAGGCTTCTGTGAGCCAATGACTATGACACTGCACTCCAGCCTGGGCAACAGAGAAAGACTGTCTCTCACACACACACAAATGTAAAATGAAACTTTAAAACCATTTATAGAACACCAAAAGATCTGTGCCCCAAGTACTGTCCTTCTTTCTTTGAATTCCAAGAAAAAAAGTGAACACTTAACACACAGTAGGGCCCTCAGTAGCAGCCACATAAGGTTTGAATGAAGGAAGGAATCAATGGCAGTGGGGAGGGACAGCTGATATCTCCATTTCTTCAGAGAAAAGTAATAAAAGGAATTAATGAATTAAACCAAAGAATTAAAACCAAACCAAATAATTGGCAAAAGGCAGAAATAGAGTTACAGATGATCCCTAAGGGAAGTTTCCAAAGGATTGTTAAACACTGCAGCTGGCTTTTCTGAGGCAATTGTCGAAACGCCTTCCTGGAAATTCTTTTCAACTTAGTACGAGTAGAGCGGCTGTGCTTTCTGAGAGAGTGTAAGCGTGGACCTGCCGGGTGGGTGAGGTGGCTGTCTGGTATTCTGCAGCTCAGCTCAGTGTGAATGGCAATCCCTCCGAGGTTACATGGCAAATGCAAAACATCTGCAACCTTTGTACCAGACTCAGCTATTTGGCATTGGATAAGAGGTGCTTTTATCAAAACTTCACTTTGAAAGGGAACATGGACCACTGTAACTGGTGGCAGCAGGGAGGGCTGCGTCTCGGCTTGGAAGAGGTCAGTGTAGGGGAAGATATTGCTCCCTCAGACATACAGTGCCAGAGGCCAGCTTGAGTGCCCTCGGTTCATCTGAGAGAGAAAGGCTGGTGGAGGCAATGTGCAGAGTTGCAAGCGGGAAAGCCAGCAGCCAGGGCAGTCGGGCTGGTCATGACACACTTGGGTACTCCCTGAGTACCTAGGGCACTTTGTAGAGTGTAGACTTTATATTAGCCAAGGCTCTCCAAATAAACTGAACCAATAAATGAATAAATCTCCATATATACATACACACACACATCTCTCCATATGTGTATATATATAGATTTTTATATATGGAGATTTATATATGGAGATATATATATATATATGGAGACAATGAGGTACAGTTCCACATGCACCCGTGACTGGGTTGGGCTCTGCACTCTCTCTATACTTTGAGAGCATGATTTTCTGTGATTGGGCAGAGCTGACCCACTTGGTGATCCACCCTCCTCTGCCTTTCAAACATTGTTTAGTCATTATATATATATATATTGCAGATTTATAATAGAAATTGGTTCACATGCTCATGGAGACCATGAAGTTTCATGGTTTGCCATCGGCAAGCAGGAGACTCGGAATAGCTGCTGGTGAAGATGAGTCTGCATTCAAAGGCCTGATCATCAAGCAGGGCAATGGTGCAAGACCCCGTCTGAATCCAAAAGCTGGAGAACCAGGGGCTCCAGTGTCCAAGGGCAGGAGAAGATGGATGGCCCAGCTCATGAAGAAGAGGGAATTTGCCCTTCTGCCCACTTTTTGTTCTATGCAGGCCCTCAGTGGATTGATGACACCCACCACGTTGGTGAGGGTGGGAATTCTTTACCCAGTCCACTGATTCCAGTGCTGATCTCTTTCAGAAACACCCTCACCAACACACCCGGAAAAAACATTTCACCAGCTACCTGGGCATTTTTTAGCTCAATCAGTTTGACATAAAATTAACTACCACAGAGTTATTACAAGATTGGTTAGAGCTCAGCACTTGCAAGATTTGTATATTCACCTTAGTGAGATCCAGTTCATACCTGCAGTTTGGTAAGTTTCAGGGGATGTTTGGGTTTTGGTAGCCAAGGACTTTGAACCCCATAGAGTTAGCCCTTCTAACATTTACCACGTCTTAGTGACAATGCATCAGAAGTGAAGGCCAGTCCTCTTACAAAGTATTCCAGTTGCAAGCATTAGAAACTTAGCTCAAACTAGTTTAGGCAAAAAGGAGAATTTATTCACTCAAAGAGTCTAAAAATCTGACAACCGAAGTTGAAAAGAGTAGAGATGTGGTTAGGCCTTGGAGCTAGAAAGCTTTCTCTATCTTAAATGTTGCACTCTTAAATGGGATTCTCTCTCTCCTGCCCTTCCCCTCTTTTTACTCTCTCTTCTGTCCCTTTCTCTCTGTCTCTTCCCCTTCTCTCTACCTCTGTCTCTTTCTTCCAATCTCTCATCTCTCTCTCAGCTTCTCTTAGCGTGTCAAACGTATTCTCTCTGGAGGCCTATTTCCTGGAGATATCCTCACCATCTCTGGAGTTTTACATTTTACAGCTTCTATCACCTGTCAAAGACTGACTTCTCTCATCTAATCTCTTAGGACAGCCTCATTGGCCCAGGCTGCCCTGGTGTCCATTCTTGGAGAGGTCAACCAGATGGCAGGAGAACGAAGACCCTGGTAGTTCTCGCAATTATCATATGGCAGAGGGGTACTAACCCCGCAAAGAAAAACTGGGAGGAGGGAATGAGAGGTGTATTTACTGTTGCACTTGATGGTCCAATACTTATAATCCCCAGATTAAAATTTCCAGTTTTTAAAGAAGTTTCTCAATCCTACACACTTCTGTCTTTAAAACTCATCCCAATCTGCCGGCACACGAAAACAGCACCTACGGGGACCAACATGGTCAGCCCCCACCACCACTGGAAACCTTCCGGGCTCCGTGGAACGCAGGGACCCACACCTTCTGGGGCCCCACACATGGGAGAAAAGTCCAGCCATTCGCGCTTTAGAAGGCCCAAAGGCGCCTGGAGAGGTGCTGGGCGCCCCTGCTCTGAGCTCCTCGGAGTCACCCGCAGGGGCAGCCGGCGCGCAGAGCACGTGCAGAGGCCCGGGGATGGAGGGAGTCCACTTCACCCGGAAGAGCGTGTTAATAGCCGAGACGGCCATTAAATTACAGAGCGCACATTAAGATTCTGGCTGCGGCTGCAGAGGAGCACTTATCAGAGGTGAAGCTCTGGAAATGCCATTCATCTCAATAGAGAGCTGCTGAGACAGAACAAAAAGACGAGGGGCGCCGGGAGAGTCAGGGAGGGGAGCGCAGCCTGCCCCGCCTGCCCGGATTCCCGCACAAGACCACCTGGCCGCAGCCCAGAGCAGCCCAGAATTTGGAGGCGCTGAGCGGCTGTGTCGTGGGGACCTAGTCTGTGCTGGACATTGCACCCAGAGCCTCACGTTTGCTCCTCAGTGCAACCCTCTGAGGGACAAATTACCCGCCTCCCATTGCCCAGAAAGTGAAACTGAGGTTCAAAGGGGTTAAAAATGTGGTCAAGGGCCTGGCACGGTGGCTCCCGCCTGTAGTCCCAGCATTTTGGAAGGCCGAGGCTAGAGGATGGCTTGAGTCCAGGAGTTGGAGACCAGCCTGGGCAACATAGCAAGACCCCCGTCTCTAGAAAAAATAAATTAGCTGGACGTGGTGGCAGACCTTTAGTCCCAGCTACTCGGGACTGAGGCAAGAGGATCGCTTGAGGCTGTGGAGATGGAGGCTTCAGGGAGCTGTGATCTCAACACTGCACTCCAGCCTGGGCAACAGAAGGAGATCCTGTCTTTTAATAAAAAAAAAAAAAAAATGTGGTCAAGGCAGAGACCCACATAGCAAGGAGCAGAACAAGGGTTCAAGCCCAGGCCGGTCTGGCTTTAAAGTCTGGGGTTTTAATCACCCTACGTGGTGCTACTGGAGTCGTCTTCAGAACCTGGGGCTCCCTGGTCCTTCTGCATTTATGCCTGGCAATCCCCTCACAGGCTAAAGCACTGAGCACTGGCCCCTCAGCCCTGAAGAGAGATTTTTAGAAAGGAAAGAAAGGAAGACATATGCACTTCACAGGAAATAACATATCCCCACGACATCTGACCGTTAGCAAAGATAATTTTACAAGAAATATCCCACAGCGACAGCCCACCCCTCTCCCGCCCATCCCCTGCTCCCAGCGCCCTCCGTAATTATGCATATGCTGCACTGATCTGTGTGTGACAGGTTAGTTAGACAAATGTGCTGGGAGTAGGCAAGAATAATTAGCACATTCATTAATTAGAGTACTGTTAGTAGTTTGACTGTGAAGGACAACCATTTGTCAACAGAGAGCAGGACAGCTGGGGCCAAGGAGTGACTCAGGGGGGCAACAATTCAGGGATGCCAAGGCTCTGCCCAGCTGCTGTTAAAAATCCTAGGAGCTGTGCAGACACTTTGCGTCAACATGCCTCCATCGCCATGGCAACAGGGCCACTATGCCCGGCTGTCAGCCTACAACATTCACGTGGCCTTCATCCTCACTTCAGGGTACACGTTGCCATCTCATGACATCTCTTCCCTCCACTCCCCATTCAGGGTTGCCCTCTCTGTTCATTAGGACGAGGATTGACTGGTGGTGAGGGAGAGGGGCAGGAGGTGGGATCAGTGCCAAGCAGGGCATAGAAATACAGCCCAGGTCTACAGGCTGGAATTATGGATGGTTACACAACAGTTCCTTTTCATTTCAGTTAGTCTCAAGAATATTCAGACCAATATTGATCTGAATGATAAGTGATATGAA